GAATGAAGTTGGACCCCTAACTAACACCATATACAAAAATTAACTCAAAATGGATCAAAGACCTAAATGTAAGAGCTAAAAACATAAAATTCTTACAAGAAAACATACAAGTTTGTTCGGATTAGGCAATGGTTTCTTAGATATGACACCAAAAGGCACAATCCACAAATGAAAAAACAGATGAACTAGACTTCATCAATATTAAATACATTTTTGTTTCAACGAGCACCATCAAGATAGTAAAAAGACAACTCAGAGGATGGAAGAAAATATTTGCAAATCACGTATCTGATAAGGAATTTATATTAAGAATAAATAAAAAACTCTTACAACTTAATAATAAAAAGACAAATATCTCAGTTTCAAAATGGGCAAAATAGCTGAGTAGATGTTTCTCCAAACAAGATATACAAATGTTACGGGGAGGGGGGGGGTTATTTACTAAGTAGATAGTAGATAAGAATTATCTTAGGTGAAGGGAAGGACAGCACACACTACAGGGGAAGTCAGCACAACTGGACTAAACCAAAGCTAAGAAGTTTCCTGAATACAATCAAACACTTTGAGGGACACAGTAGCAGGGGTAGGGGTCTGGGGACCACACATTCAGGGGACATCTAGGTCAACTGGCATAACAACGCTTATTAAGAAAATGTTCTGCATCCTACTTTGCTGAGTGGCGTCTGGGGTCTTCAAAGCTTGCAAGCAGCCATCTAAGATGCTTCAACTGGTCCCAACCACCTGGAGTAAAGGAGAATGAAGAACACCAAGGGCATAAGGAAAGTATTAGCCCAAGAGACAGAAAGGGCCACATAAACCAGAGACTTCATCAGCCTGAGACCAGAAGAACTAGATGGTACCTGGCTACCACAACTGCCCTGACAGGGAACATAACAGAGAGTCCCTGATGGAGCAGGAGAGAGGAGGGGTGCACAAGTCAAATTCTAGTAAAAAGACCAGACTTAATGGTCTGAGACTGGAGGAACCCCGGAAAGCATGGCCCCGGATTCTCTATCAGCCCAGAACTAAAACAATTTCCGAGGCCAACTCTTGAGACAGGGAGTGGACTGGACTATGGGACATAAAATGATACTTGTGAAGAGTGTGCTTCTTACCTCTAGTAGATACATGAGACTAAATGGGCAGCTTCTGTCTGGAGGTGAGATAAGAAGGCAGAGAGGGTTAGGAGCTGGTTGAAGGGACACAGGGAATCAGGGATAGAAAGGGGGAGTGTGCTGTCACAGTATGGGGAGAGCAATTAGAGTCACATAACAGTGTATGTATAAATTTTTGTATGGCAAAAAAGTAAAATAAAATAAAGAAGATATACAAATGGCCAATAAGCACATGAAAAGAAGTTCAACATCATAAGCCATCAAAACCAAAAAAACAAATCTGATGCCATCGAGCTCATTCTGACTCATAGCCAACCTATAGGACAGAGCAGAACTGCCCCATAGGGTTTCCAAGGAGCAGCTGGTGGATTCGAACTGCCAACCTTTTGGTTAATAGCCGTAGCTCTCAACCACTGTGCCACCAGGACTCCCATAAGCCGTCAGCAGAATGCAAATCAAAACCACAATAACACTTCACACTCACTAAGATGGCTATGATCAAAAAGACAGATAATAACAAGTATTGATGAGGATGTAGAGAAATTGGAAACCTCACACATTGCATGTGGAAACAAAAAATGGTGTAGCTGCTTTGAAAAACATTCTGGTAGTTCCTCAAAAAGGTGTCTAAACAGAGAGTTACCATATGGCATAGCAACTCCACTCCTAGATCTACACCCAAGAGAAATGAAAATATATGTCTACAGAAAAACTTGTACATGAATGTTCATAGCAGCATTTTCCATAACGGTCAAAAAGCAGAAACAACCCCGATGTCCATCAACTGAGTAATGGATAAATAAAATGTAGTATACCAGACAATGAAATATTATTCAACAATAAAAAGGAATAAAGCACTGACACATGGATGAGCCTTGAAAACACTTTATGTAAAATAAGTTAATCGCAAAAGACCACATATTGTATGATTCCATTTATATGAAATGTCTAGAACTGGAAATTCTGTAGAGACAGAAAGGAGATTCTAGTCTGGTGGTGATGGGGGAAATACAGGGTGACTGCTAAAAAATGGAGGGTTTCTTTTTGAGGTAATAAAAATATTCTAAAATTGACTGTGGTGATGGCTGCATAACTCTGTGAATACACTGGAAGCCATACAAGTGAACACTTTAAATGGGTAAATTACATGGTATGTGAATTATATCTCAATAAAACAGTTTAAAAAAATAGAAGCCAGGTCTCCTGACTCACAATTCTGTTTTTTTTACACCAAGCTTAATATTTCACAATTTCCTTTTATTTGTATTCATATGGTTTTAAATATTATTTATTTAAATAAATTTATTAAATAAATATTAAGTGTTCTATGTTTTTTCTTGGGAATTTTCAATGAGTGACCAATAATATGAAATAATATATAGAGAGACACTTGGATTTTAAAATGACATATAACTCAATCCTCATAATTAGTTACAATGAAGTCATCAAAGTAGTAGTTTTCTTTTAAATAACACTTCATAGTTAACAATCTTTCATATCTATTATCTCATATGATTTTTTCCACAACTCTGTGAGGTGGGTAGACTGTCAGACCAGGAAACTGAGGCTCAAAGAGGTAAAACTGACTTTCTTGAGGTAACACATATAATTCACTTACCCAGGAATTTTAAATCTAGTATTCTTTTACACTATGCCAAAAGGACCAATTCTCTCTCTCCTAATTTCTTCCCTGACTCATTTTTTTTCTGGTATAACCAGTCAGTTACCGTTGAGTTGACTCTGATGGAGACCCCATGTGTTTCAGAGTAGAACTGTGCTCTACAGGGTTTTAAATGGCTGCGATTTTTCTACACTTGGGCCTTCTTCCAAGTATAGAACCTCTTTTCTGCTCTTTTATCGACATACTGAATATCAGGGGTGAGTGTATGGCAAAGGAGGAGGAGACATATAATCACTTTCTTTAGCGCTTATTTCTCAGGAAATTAAAAGTTTGGAGCAGGGCCATAAAACAATACTCACTGGCCCACAGGGGCAAATTTATAGCACTGTTTTCCCCAACTAACCCTATAGTTACTTCCATTGAGATAAACCAACTTGAGAGCAGAGAATAATTTTCAATGTCTAGCATGTAAAGTCTGTCTTTGTTGAAACTACTCATTGTTTAAAAGTCTCTGATCTGCTTTGTTTAGTTATCTGGACAGTAACCACTTTTATTCCACGTGGATTTCTGTTTTAAAGGCTTTTGCCTAATCTAACAAATATGATGCCATTAATCATTCATAATACGGCCTGCGAAAGCCTAAAATATTGTTTGCTACAGATGATAGCTAATTTTAATGATCTGTAAATTTATTCCTTTAAAAGAAATGTCACCAAAAGTATGCAAGGTAAATTGATCTTACCTTGGAAAACTCATCTCTCCAAGAAGAGACAAAGTGTTTCTGGAAAAATATCTACTTCTGGCAAACAATTTAAGGCATTAGTAAAAAGAACCTTTAACCAGAACTTAGAAGACATGTGTGTTTCTCTTGATTCTGCCACTTGCTTACTTCTGTGATTTTGAGCAAGTTGTTTTTACCTCTGATCATTGTTTTCCTCATCTTTCCAATGGAGTTGATGCATTTTATTCCCCAAGCTTACTGTGAGGACGAAATGACACAGTATGTATGAAATGATAAAAAGTTCTATGCAAATGTACATTAATATATGCATATATGTGTGTGTGTATATACATGCTCTGCCAATTTCTAATATTAGTTGAGTTTAACTAACACTGATGACCTAATTCAACTGCTCAGCAAAAATTTCAGACATTATCAAATCAAAGGTGAATAACACACAATCTCTGACTTCTAGAAATTCACAATTGAGAGAGGAAATTAAAATTAAAAATAAACAATTATGTACACACTAAAGGAATAAATACAATAATACAGGTATATATACCAAATGCTATGGGAATCCAGCAAGGAGATAAACTAAAACCTACCTTAGCGAAATGGGGCAAATGTCAGAAAGATAACAACTAGCCTTAAAGGAAGAGATGGAGTTGCCAGAATTCTATCAAGACACATGGGCTTCACAATACAACACAAAGAATCACAAACTATTTGTGTTACAACTGGCTCTGCTTTCAGTAGTTAAAACTAGAACTTAACTTCTTTGGATCTCTCTTACCACAAGTCCAAAATGAAGGGTTTAGACAAGATGAACTCTAAGTCCTTCCAGTTCTAAAATTATACGATTCTATGAGTCAAACTCTGGTCATTGTACAGATACCAAGAAAGAGAATTCAAGAGAGCAAGAAAGTAAGTCAAAACTATTAAAAAAGGAGTTCTGCCATTAACTATGTTTTCTTGGACTTTAAAAGTCTAAGAATGATACTTATCTCTACCTTGAATAAGCTCCAGCACAGTGAAGAGTGGAAACTGGAAAGATATCAAGAAGCTGAGAAGCAAACAATGCAGGATAGCAAGAAGTGAAACGTTCACTTCAGCAAAGACGGTGCTTAGATCCAGAAAGGAAATAGGGAGTAGGTACAAAGCTACAATGTTTACATTCCCATTTACATTACATTCCTATTTAGGAAGAAAAACTCAGAATAAAACCACAAACAGACATTAACATTTACACTTTCATAAAATGTTTGGGTTTTTGCCTTGTTAAACCACTTCTTCCCAAAAATCTATCTGTATAAAGATGTTACTTAGGGATTACAAAAAAAAGGAACAAAAACTTAAGTATACACAACTGAATTAGTTCCAGGAATTGTACCAAAGGATACTATCAGGTAATCTAGCTCACCAAACACTTATTAAACTATGTGTGACAGTGTTAGTTGCTTTGAAACACATAGTCTCAGTACTCAAAGGGTTCGCTGACCTAGAACTAAGACTTTAAGGAAGAAAGAACAGTAACTCTTACCCATCAATGATATTTTCCGGTGGGTGCTTTTCATCACTTGATGTAGCTAAAATCACTTCAGTCCCTTCAGAGCTCAAACAGAGATCAACTTTTCCCATCTTAAAGTGTCTAACCTGCAAATAAAAAAATAATAAAACAATAACAATAAAAACTTGAGTCTCTGAACCTTATCTGAGAAAAGGAAGGAGAGGGAAAGCCGTTGCCTAGCACACAGTTTAACACCCAAGCTATTCAACAAGTAGGAGGGACGCTGACATGCTTATTTACATAAGTAAACTTCTAACCCCCTCCATGGAGCCCTGGTGGCGCAATGGTTAAGAGCTCAGCTGCTAACCAAAAGGCTGGCAGTTCGAATCCACCAGCTGCTCCTTGGAAATCCTATGGTGCAGTTGTACTCTGTCCTACAGGGTCACTATGAGTTGGGATCAACTTGATGACACACAACAGCAACAACAACCTCCTCCACAGATAATTTATCAGCTATGACTCTTCCCACCCACTCTGCTCCACAAAACAAGCCCCTGACGACCCTGACGTAAGTTTTCTGCTGCTAAAATTAAAAGCCCTCAATGATTATATGGAAACAGTTAACAAGCAAGAGTGACATGAATTAGTGGGTAAATTTTTAAGATTTATAGTTGTCAAACTTCTGAAATTAATAAAAATCTGGAGAATAAAAACAGATGCTTTATGACTGCTTATCCATACATTTATCAGTAGGAATAGCAAACAATATTGTTTACACCTCGTCATCATTTCCTTTCTTTCTTTTTGAGCATGTATGTGAAATGAGAAGACAGCTTTGTACTTATTTTTTAAAGTCAAAACAGTCACTTGGGTCATGGATTTAAAGATATTTCTGTTGCAGAATACTATTTTAAGTTTAGTAAAAGTGACCTGAAAAGACATTGTTGAGCTCTACTATGAATCCTGGAGGGTAGGGAAGAGGAAGGAAAGATACTATCAAATCACATGCTCCCTCCTCAATTTGGTGGCCATAGGGCACAAAGGAGTGCACAGATGCAAAGGGAATGGAAACACTGTATCTACAAAGATTTAAGCCATGGAGAGTGTTTGGAAGAGGAAGGAAGGCTTCTAGTGGTACACAATACCCTTCACAACCTGGCCAGAGGCTAACTTTTTCTTTTTAATGATATATTACAAACAAACAAGTATGGAGAGTATTACACATATTAAACAACCATGTACCCATTGCTCAGATTAATAAATGTTAACATTTTGCCATAACTACCTTAGATTTAAAAAAAAGAATTAGGTCACCCCCCTCCCCCATGCTATTCCCTTACTTGCCCAGACGTAACAGCTATTCCGAAGTTGGTGAATAGCCCTCCTGACCATATTTTTATATTTTTACCATTATGTATCCATAAATATGCACTGCCCTTTTAAAGCTGACATGGTTTCATAGTGTAGATATCCTTTTGCTACTTGTATTTTCACTCAATATTATGTTTTCAAGATTTTACCATGTTGATATATGCAAATCTACTTTATTCATTTTAACTGCTGTAAGGTATTTCTCCACTTCCTTATTGACGGGTATCAAAGACAGTTTCCAATTTTTTGCTATTATAAACAAGTTTGCAGTGCACATCTGTGCATGTATTCTTATGTGCAAGTGGGAGAGAGTTTTTATGATAAAAGTTTCTGTATAGAAGAAAAATTATGGAGACTTAGAAACTGCATAACTTCAAGTCACTAGTCAATTTGCTCTCTAAATTATAACAATTTATGCTTCCATCAGTAGTGTATGACAGTTTCTGCTTCCTCATTATTCTCAGCAACTTGATATTGCTAGGCATTTTGGCTTCTGCCAGTCTCATTGGTGTGAAATGGTATCTCAATAAAGTTTAATTTGTATTTCCATGATTACTAGTAAGGCTGAATACATTTTAATATGTTTCATATGGATGAATTCAGGCCTCTTCTGTTATTTCTAGCACCCATTTGTCAGTTTGTCATACTGTGGTGGCTTTCATGTTGCTACGATGCTGGAAGCTATGTCACTGGTATTTCAAATAGCAGCAGCATCACCCATGGTGGAAAGGTTTCAGCAGAGCTCCCAGACTAAGATAGACTACGAAGAAAGGCCTAGTGATCTACTTCTGAAAATTAGCCAGTGAAAACCCTATCAATCACAGAATGTTGTCAGAGACTTTGACTTCCTTACTTTGGATGTGACATCAGGAGGGATCGATCGCTGGAGGACATCCTGTTTGATAAAGCGGAGGGCCAGCGAAGGTGAAGGAAACCCTCAATGAGATGAACTGCCACAACAGCCACAGCAATGGACTCAAACATACCAACGATCATGAAGATGGCACATGACTTAGGCAACATTTTGTTCTGTCGTACTTGGGTCTTCATGAGTTGGAGTCAACCCGAAGGCAGCTAACATCAACAACAACTTCTGTTATTTGCTTTTTCTTATCCTTTGTCATTTTTTCTATTGTCTTTTTTTATTTTTATTTTTTTTCTTTTTGATTTGTAGGAATTTTTAAAACAAAACATTTTGGATACAAATCCTTTGTTACATGTGTTGCAGCTATCTTCTCCCACTGTGTGGCTTGGTTTTTCCTTTAAAATTTATTTTTATTGTGCAAGAGGATAGCCAAATGGCTAATAAGCATGAAAAGGCACAACCTCATAAGTAATCAGGAAACAAAAATTAAAACCATGATGATATACCATTATTTACCCATTAAAATTGTTTAAAATTAAAAAAGATTGACAATACTGACCGTTGGCAAGGATGTTGCACAGTGATGCAATTCATAAGTATATATAACTCAATGAATTTTCAAAGTAAGTACATTCAGGACACCACTACCCAAGTAAAGAAATACAGGTAGTCCCTGACTTATGCTGGGGTTCCATTCCTATGACTCTGTCGTTAGTCAGTTGTGACTTAAGTCAAACGCTTTTTTTTTTTTTTTTCAGTTTTCATTATTATTGCCTTTTGTCATCAGCATCTTTATAAATCTGATCTGTATTTGTCTTTGGGGGCTGGCATGAGAATGATAACATCAGCAAATTATGCACTGCAACACTGTATGCAGTACATATTACTAACAATAAGATGTCCCCCTACCCCAAAAAAAAGTAGGTGCTTAAGTGTGGTTCTTCATAACTCGAATGCTCGTTAGTCGGGAGCTATCTGTAGAACATTACCAGCACTCGAGAAGCCCTTCTCATGCCCCCGACCAATCACTACCTTTCCCTCTTCCCCAAACATATCCACAGTCCTTATTTCTAACACTATAGGTTAATTTTGCCCAACTTTATTTACATGGAATCATACAGTTTATGCTCATTTGTATCTGGCTTCTTTCACTCATCGTTATGTTTGTGAGATTTATCCATGTTGTTGCGGGTAGTATTTTTTATATGAATACACCACAATTCATTTATCCATTCTATTGTTGATGGATATTTGAGTTGTTTACAACTTGGGGCTCCTAGGAATGATGCTATTATAAACAGTCTCACACATCTTTTCGTATGCTTAGGCATGAATTTCTGGTAAGAATATACGTAGGAGGAAAAACTATTGGGTCATAGTGAATGCATATGTTCAACATTCCAAAACTGGTTGTAACAATTTATACCTGTACCAGCAATGTATGAGTTTTCACTGAACAACTTCCTTGCTAACATTCAGTATTGTCGATCTTTTTTAATTTTTAACAATTTTAATGGGTGAATAGTGGTATATCATCACTTTACTTTGCATTTCCCAATTACTAATGAGGTTGAGTGCCTCTTCATGTTTATTAACCATTTGGATATCCTCTTCTGTGAAGTTCCTATTCAAATCTGTTGCCCTTTTTTATATCATGTTGTCTTTTTCTTACTGATTTGTAGTTCTTTGTATATTCTGTATAGGAGCCTTTTGTTAGTTATTTGTGCTGTAAATATCTTCTCCTACTCTGTAGCTTGCTGATTCATTCTCCTTGTTGTGACTTTTTTCCTTGTGGTGACTTTTGATGAAGAGAAATTATTAATTTCAAGATAGCCCAATTTATCAATTTTTTCCTACATGGTAGGTACTTTTTGTATTTGTTCTAGAAATCTTTCCCTACCTAGGCATGATGGTATCTTCTCTTCTAAATACTTTAATGATTTAACTTTCACATTTGGCTCTATATTTTACCTGAAGCTGATTTTTTTATTTGGTCTGAAGTTTGGTAAAGTTTTTGTTTTTTTAATATGGATATCCAATTGACTCCACTGCTCCACACTGCCACATATGTCTTAAATCAAATATCCATGTATACTCACTGATCTGTTTTTGCACTCCTTCCTTATTTTGTTCCAATGATCTATTTGTCTATTCTTGTGCTAATCTCATGGTAACAATTATTGAGTTTCACACTAACTTTTGATATCCATGTTCTTGTTCAAAACTGTCTTGGCTATTCTTAGCCCTCTGTATTTCCACATAAATTTAGAACCAACCAGGTTTTTTAGAAAAAAATTTGCTGGGATTTTAATAGGGAGTCTTCTGAATCTATAAATCAACTGACAGCTTTATAATATTCAATCTTCTAATTTATGAAAATGGTATATCCCTCCATTTATTAAAGTCTTCTTAAATTTCTCTCAATAATATTTAATAGATTTCTGTATAGAGGTCTTCTATGTCTTCTGTTACATTTATCCCAAGGCATTTGAGGTTTCTCCATGCTATTATGCAGGGGTTTTAAATTTCAACGTAATCAAATTTATCAGTATGTTCCTTTATAGTTTAGTCCTTTGTAGTATATTTTATGATACTTATTTCCTGAGGTTATAAAATGTTCTCCTGTATTTTTTTATAAATGTTTTAAAGTTTTGCCTTTAGATTTTGAATCCACGTAGATTTTATCTGGGGTATGGTGTAAGACAGGAATCTAATTTTTTCCCCCATAAGGATAGCTAATAGTCTCAATGCCATTTAATAGTTTACTCTTTCTCCACTACTTGTAATGCTTCTTTTGTTATATACAAAATTCCCATATACATTAAGCCTGTTCAATCAGTCTATATATGTATCACTGCACCAACTCCAGTTGAATATTTACAGTAAGTGTTGGAGTTACACTTCCAGTTA